CATCCCTTCTAGCACCACTGTATTGCCTGTTGTCAGTACAGAAAACCAGACTGTAAAACCGACCATTTTAATAGCTCTTGGGGTATTTCCAACATGATTAGAATAATCCCATTTTGGTACATTAGTTTTTGTCCTACTAATTCTTGTTCAGAAATAATCCTGATTTTGTGAGTTTGGTAGATAATCTGCTCCCACACCTGCTTAGTACTATGGAGTTTTATTTTCAGTTCCTCGTTGGTCTTGCTGATCTGTAGGTATCACTTCTTTAATTGTAAAGCCACCAGTGGTTTGGAGATTTTTTTTGTTTACTTCATTTTTAAAGGATAGAAAAAGAAAAATCTCTTTTCTTCAGGTAAATTCAGCCAAAGACCGTGTCAGATCATTGTTGCAGGCACTGGGTTTTGGGGGTGGTTTTGTTTGTTTTTCATTTACTGCCACTGTATCATGTTTGCCACTATCTTATGATGCTTCTCTCCTGGCAAGTATACACAGAGGACATTTGTCCGTGATGGCTGGGATGTCCAGCAATGCATTAGCCACAGAAACCGTGCTTTAAAATTATTGAATTGGGACATAATTGCACTTGAAGGAGGTGCCTTCATTCATACTCCATAGCTGCACTCTTCTAGGATGCTATAACTAGTGTTACCCAGGAAAAACAAAAAAAACAAGAGAACTTAGTGAAAGGCCCCACCTTCTGAAATGTCCGTATGTGAATTTCTGTTAAGAGATGTTGAGAGACAGAAATCTCTTCTATTTTTTTTTTTTTAATCATGTAGTCTTTACGTTAACATCTGAGAAAAATTCAGTACTGCTAGATTCTCAATGTATTTCTTTTTATTGAATATATAATCTCTGGCATTTGGCCTACATACATATTAACAAAATACTTGGCTAGGTTTTAAGCATTCCTGGAAAGACAACAGCAGGTTTTAAGTAGAAACAAAAATGTCGGTTTAAATGCATACATGACTTGCTTTACATCTTGATTTCTTCTCTAGCCCACTGTCTAGTCGGATACAAGCTAAGAGCTCCCAGAGGAAGACTGGGATCCTGTGGCCCGCAAAGCTTTTCTGCAGTGTTCACAAAGGTCATTTGCAGAATTAGTTGCTCTCTGAGGCTCCTTGTGCTCCCTTCTGTCTGTCCTGCAGTCTGGATGAGGGAGCAGGTATTGAGGAAGCCAGAATTGGCACAGCTTGGAGCCTGGCTGTCCAGCCACCTTTAACCCTCAGCAGCAGTAAGCTAGGATCTCCCTCGGGGTAACTCTGGGACTAGGGCAAATCTCAGTTTAAGTATTAAAACCCAAAAATGCATCCATTGTCTTCTAGTGTTTTGCATAGTTACATTTTCTGCCCATGACAACTACTATGGAATTTATTTCTGGGCAATTAGAGGCAGTGACAGCAGTCTGTGTCTTGTTAGATTGATACAGATGCCTCTGAAATACACTTCGTTTCCCATTTAGTTTCATTTCTGAATTAAATAACTTGTTTTAATTAACAGTTCTGTGGAACAAAGGATACTTATTTGGAAAAGAGAATTTGCTTTGATGAAACAACAGAATTGTCATAAACAGTGTAGTTTCATGTTGATATGGAAGGAGATTTGATATCTCTGTGTAATTCATCAAAACAGCCATATAACTATTTAGAAATGAATTTTTGACTGAAAGTTTTCAGCACTCATTTGCTTTTGTAACTCGCCTCCTGCTGCGGCTGTCCCTGCAGTGAAGAACGCGTGGAATGCAGGCAGCGTTTCTTATGCTGACTTGTAAGCAAATACTCCCTGTAACCTGGATTCGCTCCTTCGGGGGTGCTGGTTTCAGCCAGCAATGTGGGGCTAGTATTTTGGGTTTTTTTTTTAATACCTTTTAACATGTGAGCTGTTAAGTTAGCATTTTATTGTAAGCACGGTGTTTTCTGTTACAGGTGATGTTCCTAACTACAGTCAGGTCTGTACCCTCTACTTATTTCTGCTGGGCTAGTGATGGCTGCCCAACAAGAAAACGTCCCCATTGCGCTCAATGTAGTGTTCACAGTAAAGGAACAAGGGAACAGATTAATCGGTGTGCATCAGCATTCCCATAAGTGATATAAATGTATTGCCACATCACTTCTGTATTTCTTCATATACATGTTTCCCATGCAATTTACAGTGGTACTTTTATCATAAGACTCAGTCGGTACAAACTTCTTCCTGCACCCTTTCGTTTTTGTTAGTGCTTGAGGAAGAGTGGTGTTCAGCATCACATTTTAACCTTTTTTTAATACCTTTGGAAAAGACTCTGTTACTTCCTTTACGTCATCAAACCTTCATTACTTCATTCAATTACACAACCTTTCCTTGAATATGCAGCCTTGGTGGGTTTTATTTGTCAAGTGTAGAGATTTCTGGATAGTAAGTGTGTGTTGAGGTTTCTTTGGTTTTCATATTTGCCCAACCACAGCCAAATTTTA